CCCCAAAACCCCAAAACCCCAAAACCCCAAAACCCCAAAACCCCATTTAAAGTTTGTACAGCTGAAATTCTATATTTTTATATTATGAAATCTATATCATTACACAAAAGACTATCAAGGAAAAGTAAAACGGGAGACTTGTCCAAGCTCAGGACACCCAAAATCAGGATCAAAAGTACTCGTCCTAACACAAGAAAATGTGTCAGGATCCAGACTCTTGATTTTGCAGCCATGAGTCCGAAGCAGACAACCTCCGGTGATAATAGGTAGGGAAATTTTCTATATGATTGTAACCAGTGAAACATGGAATCCAACCATGTGAAAACCTGACTTCTTTCAACAAGCGATTAGCTTGTTGAAAAATATTTACTACCTTCATAATAATTCTCGCGTGTTATTTGCTGTATTCATATTGTTATTTCTAGCCAATACCAGTTCCAGAATCACCAAGACAAGATCTCAAACTCCATCTTCTACAGCACTCCGAAGCACAGACAAAGGAAGCTTACTCCAAAAAGGAACACTTCTTCGGAGTTCCTCCCCTTCGTCTCCATTTCGAGTGAGAAAACTAAGAGATGGGAGAGGATCTCTAAAGTGATTGAAAAAGAATTCACTAACCAGCAAGAAAAAGTCAGGCTTGGGTACAGACAGTTCCAAAAGTACAAAAGGATGGAGAAGAGGAATCTTCCGTTCCTTAATACCAAATACTATAACGGCATCAGTACCCTTGTCGTCTAAGCCTGCAGACCTGTTGAAGACAGGAGGAGTTAATCTTAATATTTTTATACACACATCTAAGCTTCTAAAACCGTTATCCAAATTTTGATTCTGTAATCTAAAGATTCTGACAAATTTAAGTTGGTCAAGTTTTGATACATTTACAACAGTTATAGCTCACTTTATGAGAATTGTTAACTTTTTAATAATTTCATCCCGATAGTTTACGATATGGAAAATTTCAATAAAGATTGGTGAAAAAGGGGTTTTGGGGTTTTGGGGTTTTGGGGA